AATTAAAAAAAAATTTTTTGTTATTGTTGTAAATATATCTATCACACAACTTTTGCCAATTCAGCTTTTTACAGGTGAATAGCTTTTTGGCAGCAATTACAATAGTCGGCTGTGTAACCCTACCCTTAATCAATGATATGTTTCCATCACTGTTAGCCCCTCTTTTCCACCTCCTTCCTGCCCCTAGTAATGACTAATAAACTTTGATCTCTATACATTTGCCTTTTCTTGTCTTTTTATATAAGTGAGGTCATATAACATTTGTCCTTTTGTGATTATTTTGCTCAGCATAATGTCTTCAAGCTCCATCCATATGGTAGCATATATCAAGACTTCATTTCTCCCACTCGCTGAGTAGTATTCCATTGTATCTATGTACCACATTTTGTTTATTCATTCATCTGTTGATGGGCATTTATGTTGTTGCCACATTTTGGCTATTGTGAACAGTGCTGCAGTGAACATTGGTGTACAAGCCTCTGTTTGAGTCTCTGCTTTCAAGTCTTTTGGGCATATACCTAGGAGTAGAATTGCTGAGTCATATGGTAGTTCTGTTTTTAGATTTTTGAGACACTGCCACACTATTTTCCACAACGACTGTACCATTTTGCAGTCCTGCCAGCAATGGTTAAGGGTTCCAGTTTCCTCATTTGATTCTCTCAATGGCTAATGACACTAAGCATTATTTCATGTGTTTGGTGACCATTTGAATATCCTCTTTGGTGAAATGTCTGTTCAAATCCTTTGCTCATTTTATGATTGGGTTATTTGTCTTTTTGATGTAAAGTTGTCAAAGTTTTATATGTATTTTGGTTATTAGATTCTTGTTGGATATATGGTTTCTGAAGATACTCTCCCAGTTGGTAGCTTGTCTTTTCTTCTTCTTTTTTTTTTTTTTTGGTAAAGTCTTTTGATGAACAGAAGTTTTTAATTTTTATAAGGTCTCGTTTATTTATTTAGCCTTTTTCTGTTTGTGCTTTTGTTATTATATTCGCTAATCCATTGTTGAAAGCTAGGCCTGACAGAGCTGTCCCTGCTTGTTCTTCTAAGAATTTTATGGTTATAGTTTGCACACTTCTGTCTTGGTGGCACAGTGTTTAAGAGCTACGGCGAGCTACGGCTGCTAAAAGATCGGCAGTTTGAATCCACCAGCTGCTCCTTGGAAACTCTATGGGGGCAGTTCTGCTCTGTCCTATAGGGTCACTATGAGTCAGAATCGACTCCAACGACACCAGGCTTTTTTGGTTTCAGTTTGCACACTTAGGTCTTTAATCCATTTTGAATTTGTTTTTGTGTATGGTGTGAGGCATGGATTCTGTTTCATTTTTCTGCAAGTGGAAATCCAGTTTTCCCAGGACCATTTATTGAAGAGACTCTTCTTTTTCCATCAAATGGACTTAGCACCTGTCATGGATTGAATTATGTCCCCTCAAAATATGTGTCAACTTGGCTAGGCCGTGATTCCCAGTATTGTGTGATTGTTCACCATTTTGTCATCTGATGTGATTATCTTGTGTGTTGTAAATCCTACCACTATGATGTTAATGAGGCAGGATTAGAGGCAGTTATGTTAATGAGACAGGGCTCAATCTACAAGATTAGGTTGTGTCTTAAGCCAATCTCTTTTGAAATATAAAAGAGAGAAGTGAGCAGAAAGACATGGAGACCTTATACTACCAAGAAAGCAGCTCCAGGAGCAGAGCACGTCCTTTGAATCCAAGGTCTCTGCACAGAGAAGCTCCTAGACCAGGGGAAGATTGATGACAAGGACCTTCCTCCGGAGGTGACAGAAACAGAAAGCCTTTCCCTGGAGGTGGCACCCTGAATTCAGACTTCTAGCCTCCTAGACTGTAAGAGAATAAACTTCTGTTTGTTAAAGGCATCCACTTGTGGTATTTCTGCTGTAGCAGCACTAGATAACTAAGACAACATTCTTTCAAAAAAATCAGTTGATCATAGATGTTGTGGGTTTATTTCTGGACTCTCAATTCTATTCCATTGGCCTGTGTGTCTATTTTTATACCAGTACCTGGCTGTTTTGATTACTGTAGCTGTATAGTATGTTTTAAAATCAAGAAGTGTTAAGTCCTACTTTGATCTTCTCTTTCAACATTATTTTAGTTATTTGGGGCCTCTTGACATTCCATATAAAGTTAAAGATTGGTTTCTCTATTTCTTTAAAAAAGGCTTTTGGAATTTTGATCGGGATTACATTGAATCTAGAGATCACTTTGGGTCCTACTGACATCGTAACAATCTTCTAATCCATAAACGTGGAACATTTTTCCATTTATTTAAGTCTTCTTTAATCTCTTTCGCAGTGTCTTATAGTTTTCATTGTATAAGTCCTTCACATCCCTGGTTTGATTTATTCTTAGCTATTTTATTCTCTTAGATGCTATTGTAAATGGAGTTGTTTCCCTGATTTCTCTTTCAGATTTCTCATTGCAGGGTATAGAACCCTAATTGATTTTTGTTTGTTGACCTTGTACCCTGCAGCTTTGCTAAATTTCTCTGTTAGCTCTAGAAATTTTCTTTTGGACTCTTTGGGATTTTCTATATATAGGAATATGGTTTTTCTCTTTTAGCCTATTAATAATTTTCCCAATAATGACCATTTCTGCCTTCCTGGAATAAATCTTTCTTGGTCATGGTGTGTTATTCTTTGAATATATTTCTGATTTTACTCGCTAATATTTTATTAGCAACTGGACCAATAACAACATCAGGATAAATGGAGGAAAGATTGAAGTTGTCAAGGATTTCATTTTACTGGCATGCACAATCAACACCCATGGAAGCAGCAGTCAATAAATCAAACGATGCATCACATTGGACAAATCCGCTGCAAAAGATCTCTTTAAAGTGTTGAAAAGCAAGGATGTCACCTTGAAGACTAAGGTGCGCCTGACGCAAGCCATGGTGTTTTCAGTTGCCTCATATGCATGCGAAAGCTGGATGATGAATAAGGAAGACTGAAGAAGAATTGATGCCTTTCAGTCGTGGTGTTGGCAAAGAATACCTAATGTACCATGGACCGCAAAAAGAACAAACAAATCTGTCTTGGATGAAGTATAACCAGAATGTTCCTTAGAAGCAAAGATGGCGGGACTATGTCTCACATACTTTGGACATGTTATCAGGAGGGATCAGTCCCTGGAGAAGGACATGATGCTTGGTAAAGTAAAGGTCAGCAAAAAGAAGGAAGACCCTCAAAGAAATGGATTGACACAGTGGCTGCAACTGTGGGGTCAAGCATAACAACAATTTTGATGATGGCGCAGGACTGGGCAGTGTTTCATTCTTTGTGCATAGGGTCGCTGTGAGTCGGAATCAACTCGATGGCACCTAACAACAATATTTTATTTAGGATTTTTGTATTTATATTAATAAGCAATCTGTTGCAAAAGACCTCTTTAAAGTGTTGAAAAGCAAAATGTCACTTTGAGGACTAAGGTGCACCTGACCCAAGCCATGATATATTTTAGTTGCCTCATATGCATGTGAAAGCTGGACAATGAATAAAGAGCACTGAAGAAGAATTGATGCCTTTAAATATGGTGTGGTGAAGAATATTGAATATACCACGGACTGCCAGAAAAGCAAACAAGCCTGCCTTGGAAGAAGTACAGCTAGAGTGCTCCTTGGAAACCAGGATGATGGGACTTTGTCTCATGTCCTTTGGACATGTTATCAGAAGGGACCAGTCGCTGGAGAAGGACATCATGCTTGATAAGGTAGAGGGTCAGTGAAAAAGAGGAAGATGCTCTACAAGATGGATTGACACAGTGGCTGCAACAGTGGGTTCAAATGTAGCAACGATTGTAAGAATGGCATAGGACCAAGCAGTGTTTTGTTCTGTTGTTCATAGGGTCTCTGTGAGTCAGAAACAACTCCACGCCACAAAATTAATAAACGAAATTGGCATAGTGTGCTTAGTGATTGGTTGTGATTGGTTGTGTCATGCTTGTACAGTTTGAGCATTGTGGATTGTCTAGTCATGTTGAATGAGTTCAGAAACTTTCCACCTTATCTGTGGTTTGGAACTGTTTAAGTAGTATTGGAGTCGTTTGGTTTTGGAGGTTTCATAGACAATGAGATTCCTTGGATCACGACTACTAATCTCTAAAACTGTCTTCTCTAGCCAGTAGTGGACTTGTGCCACCCAACTTAGCTTCATACCTTAACTTGTCACAGGAACATGTCAGCCCAGGGAGTTATATATTAAAGTCATGGTACTTTCTTTTTTCAGGTGCTTTGGAAGTTGTCTGTATCACTAATTATCACAGGGTTCCTATGGAACTTCTTGACAAGTCTGCTGTATTATTTTCAGTTTAGTGATGGGTCATTGTTGAAAGAGGTAACCTCTGATATCAGAGTTTTAAATAAGTAGTCTTTATTTAAAAAAAAAAAAAAAAAAAAAAACTTGGAAGGTGTGCCCGCAACATTAAATGGCACCAGATCTGAACTATTTTTTGGCTTGATTACTGTGAAACTGAGCAGAAGCTGAGAAATGCTTTTTTGATGGTAAGAGATGAAGAAGCCCAAACTAAGAGGAAGGACTCTCTCCCCTTTTTAATTATAAAAAGCTTGACAGCTTGAGATAGCCTTTTTCAGTTCCTCAAGGAGCATTTCTCTGCTGAAATGTTGCTCTCAGCTCAGAACTTCAAACTGATGCTTATTTGTACAATGAGGGTGTCTAAGGCCCTCGACAATGAGTTCCTATTTTAGCACAGTGAATCAAGGGAGTTTGCAGTGAATAGATCTATTTTAAGAGGAGTCTGCTGATTGGATATCTTTTGATCTTGTATCCTTCATCAGTTCTGAGTTTACCTAAATATACAACTGGTGTTTCTTGGACTGCTGCCACTAATTTCTAAATTAAAATTCTGCTGAACTCATCCCATGCAAATGCATATCCTTGGAAATTGGTTGAATTAAAAGGCAGTATTTTTGCATGGGGTTTATCGATTGATTTCTCATTCTTTTCCTCCTTGCAGTGAAACAGACCATTGTTAACATTTCAGTATTTAATGAAACCTGCTTAACATGGAGAAGTTTGAAGACAGCTGACATAGAGGAGATGTATTTAGTAAGTTTCTGAAAGTTAACTTATTTATATAAATGTTAGTTTTGTGTGGGAGGTTTAAAAAATCTCAACAAACCTAAAAACTGACTTATAAAACTGCCCTTATCAATAGAAAATTTTCAGTGACAATCACAATAAGAAACAAGAAAATTGCCACTTCTACTGCATAGTTGAAGACAGAAACCGTGAGGAGAGATGAGAAAGCCCTGAGAGTTTCATTGTGCACGCGGCCTGGTACAGAGTTGATGTTCAGGCAGTGTCTGTGGAAGGAAGTCTGTGGTTTATGCATATGTGTCTCTGTCTGTACTAGTGTCTCTGACCGGCGTCTGGATGTGTTGCCTAGAGAGTCAAGGGGACCTTCTGAAGCTAGATGTGGTTGTGAGTCAGAAACAGAAAGACAATGGGACATGCTGCTACTAGACAAAATTAAGTGGGATGAAAAGATCATCTCTTGGACCAAGTGCTGGGATGTTGCACCAGTGGACTAGGGATGGAACCCCAAAAGGGAGCGACAGAGGAGAAAAAAATGCTTTCTAGGTTTTACCAGATCAATTATTATTGTTAGGTGCTGTCAAGTCAGTTGACTCACAGCAACCTCGTGTGACAGAGTAGAACTACTCCATAGGGTTTTCTTGGCTGTAATCTTAATGGGAGCAGACCACCATGTCTTTCTCCCATGGAGCTGCTGGGTGGGTTCGAACTGCCAACCTTTTGGTTAGCAGCCGAGCGCTTAACCATTGCTCCACCAGGGCTTCTTTCAATTATGCTCCAGATCAGTTAGGAGTATCCTTATATCCTTATTCAGATCCTGGTTTAGATCTGGATAGGGATATAAGGATAGTATGGATCTTTCATTTTCTTTCTAGGAAACATTCTCAGTCTTGCTCCCGCAGTTTTGCCAACAATTTTTCTCCTTGGGCATGTGCACTGTACATGTGAGGACAAGAAAGATAAATTTGCCAGTGGGGGGGCCTCTACCTTCTGTGCATTTGATTAAAAAATATATTTATTATACTAACAATATCATAACTACAATATTGATATTACAACTCTAATATTTGCTCACTGTTTCTTTTCACTTTCTGAAGAAACTTTGGAGTCAAGAGAGAGGAGAATAGAAAGGCTTGTGAGAATGGGTAGTATGGAAGCGTTCAGAGCCTTTCAAGGCCAGCAATTCACCCTGTATGCTTTTTTTATGTTTCAGTTCCACATTCGGGGCCAGAGATGGTATCAGAAGGAATTTGCCCAGGAAATGGTCTTTAATGTCACTACCAGCAGCCAGGCCCCTGAGATGTGCTTGGACCTGCATGCAGGTACCAACTACAGTGTCACCTTCCTGGCTTTGTCTTCTGAATTTCCTGTGGCAATCTCCTTGACAACCCAGATAACAGGTAAATCTTGAATAACAGCATTTGGATGAACGAAGTCACCACAGAGATGTTGATAGGCCAGAATAAAGAGGAACGCTCTTTCTTTCTACCTTTATATAATGAACTTTAAGAGAGAGGAAGAAGGAAATGGAATTGAAGAGGGGTGCTAAGGGGTTTGCAGCTGTGACTGTAATGTTTTATTTCTTAAAAAGATTTCTGAAGCAAAATGTTAGCATTGATTAAGGGTGGTTAAATTCCTTCTGAATGTCTGAAATCTTTAAAATATTTCATACTTAAAAAAAAAAAGGATGTTCTGTTATTGTTTTTTTCTTAGTAACATATGTAATTGGTATTCTCCTGCAAATAAAGAGTAGGTTACTCTCAGGAGAAAATGACTAGCAGTCTCACTATTAAAACAACACCACCACCACACCAAACTTGTTAACCTTCGAGTTGATTCTGACTCATGGTGACCCCAAGTAGTGCCCTAGTAAACTCATTTGTACTTATTTTTTCCTCTTTCCTCAAATATGTGACTCTTCCCCCCACACCACCACACACACTCTAAGCTAATACTCTTTTGCTTCTTCTTTCACTGAGAAATTAGAAGTAATTAGGCAAGGACTTCCCCCAAATTTCTTACTAAACTTGTTTTTGCATTGGAGCTTTTCCACATACTGTTTCCTCTTCCTGGAACATTCTCTCCACATGGTTGCCTTATAATCCTTCAGGTCTCTGTGCAAATGTTGTCACCTTAGAAAGCCCATCCCTGACCATCCTTTCAAAAATATTCTCCCAATCTCCACTCCATCACTCTGTATCCACCTGCTCTGCTTGAGTTTCTTCATAGAACTTGCTTTTCTGAAATTGTAGGTTTTTTTTGGTTTATTTTAAAATTTTTCTTTCTCCCCTACTAGAATTCGAGCTCCTCAAAGGCACATTTTTTTGTTTGTGTGTTCTACATTGAATCCCCAATACGTAAGAACAGTGCTGACAGTACAATAAATAAATTTTTTTTTGAATGCATAAATTAGGGGCCAAGCCATAAGTAACCAGTGAATGATACTAATATTAAGATTGTAGTTAGTCAAGAAAGGCCTACGATAAAAGAGAATTCACTAAGTTTTAGGTTGGAGGGGGAAGTAATGTTCAATTTGGGCTTGTGACTTATTAAAAAATGAATAGCTATTCAGTCTCCTACTCTTTGGTCTTTTCCATGTTTGGATGACTTTCATTTCTTATTCGAAGGGGTGCTTCACACACACATATATATATATTCTGAGTGGCGGGGAGTACATCTTCATGAGATACTTTGTTCTGTAGGCTACATATAGCCTTAGTAGCTTGAGTTCCCTGTGTCTATGCTTATGGCCACCAGGGGACAGTGTTGAGCTATTTCAGTTCATTGAGGCCTTGAAGCTGTTTAGTTCATTGAGATCATGACTGCAAATTTTCTAACTCTAAACAACCAAGAACTAATGCCAAAGATGAAGAAACTGAAGATTTTTACAAACATCTGCTGTCTGAAATTGATAAAATGTCAATCAGGATGCACTAATAATTACTGGTGATTGGAGTGCAAAAGTTGGGAACAAAGAAGTATTTGGTGGTTGGAAAATATGGGCTTGGTGATAGCAACAATGCTGGAGATAGGATGATACAAAGACCAATGACTTATTCATTGCAACTATCTTTTTTCAACAACGTAAACAGCGACTATACACGTGGATCTCATCACATGGAATACACAGGAATCAAATCAACTACATCTGTGGAAAGACATGGTGGAGAAGCTCAATATCATCAGTCAGAGCAAGGCCAGGGGCCAACTGTGGAACAGATCATCAATGACTCATGTGCAAGTTCAAGTTGAAGCTGAAGAAAATTAAAACAAGTCCATGAGAGCCAAAATACAACCTTGAGTGTATCCCACCTGAATTTAGAGACCATCTCAAGAATAGATTTGACACATTGAACACTAATGACCTAAGACCAGACAAGCTGTAGGATGACATCAAGGAGATAATACACGAAGAAAGCAAAAGGTCATTAAAAAGACAGGAAAGAAAGGAGAGACTGAAATGGATGTCAAAAGAGACTCTGAAACTTACTCTTGAACACAGAGTAGCTAAAGCAAATGGAAGAAATGAAGAAGTAAAAGAGCTGAACAGAAGATTTCAAAGGGCAACTCAAGAAGACAAAGTAAAGTATCATAATGAATGTGCAAAGAACTGGAGTTAGAAAACCAAAAGGAAAGAACATGCTCGGCATTTCTCAAGCTGAAAGAACTGAAGAAAAAATTCAAGCCTTGAGTTGAAATATTGAAGGATTCTATGGGCAAAATACCAAATGATGCAG